ATTAGGTGACTGGAGAAGGAACTGAAATCAGAGGTAACAGAACTAAGAATTAAAAATAATTACCTCCGAATTAAAAGTACAATGCTTAATGCATTAGAAACAAAAGGAAGATGGTTTTAAAAATAAAAAGATACAAAGTTTTGAGAAAAAGTAATAAACAGAAAAGATTTTAAAAGATGAAGTTCCAACATATATAAAGGTTAGAGAGGGGAAACAATAGAAAAAAATACTAAAAAGTATAATTCAAGAAAAAAAAGCTCCTAAAACAAAAGATGACCTGAAGCTACATATTATGACTTTTGAACAGACATATTTTATGCCAGAACACAATGGAGTAAATTATTAAATATACTCAAGGAAAGAAAAGGTGAGTCACGGGGTTCCTATCTATCCAAACGAACCTTCAAGTATAAAGGTTGCAAACAAACTGAAAAGAACATGTGACATGCAAGTACTCGGGGAATACCAAGAACACTGCCCGAGAATCTACTCGACTCCAAGGCAGGGGTCAGCAAACCTTTTCTGCGAAGGGCCAGAGTCAGTACTTTTGGCTTTATAGGTCCTACGGTTCCTATTACAACTGCTCAGCACAGATGCTGCAGTGTTTACAAAGGCAGCTGTAAACAAAACAAAACAGAGAGGCCAGTCACATATGGCTTGTGGGTCTGGTTTGCTCACCCTCATACTAGAGAATGAGCTTCAGAAACTAAAAAACAAAAAAACTAGAAAGGACTCAACATGAGGACTGGTGCTGAGAATTAAACATGTATTTACCCGTAGAACTAAGACTAACTGATGGTTATCTGGGTCTGCACTGTAGCTTGTAATGGCTAAATGCTCTGACCATAGATATAGCAAACAATTTTTTTTTTTTTTTCTGAGACGGAGTTTCGCTCTTGTTGCCCAGGCTGGAGTGCAATGGCACAATCTCGGCTCACCGCAAGCTCCGCCTCCTGGGTTCAAGCAATTCTCCTGCCTCAGCCTCCTCAGTAGCTGGGATTACAGGCACATGCCACCATGCCCAGCTAATTTTTTTTGTATTTTTAGTAGAGACGGGGTTTCACCATGTTGACCAGGATGGTCTCGATCTCTCGACCTCGTGATCCATCGCCTCGGCCTCCCAAAGTGCTGGGATTACGGGCTTGACCCACCGCGCCCGGCCCAGCAAACTATTTTTTTAAATGGGAGGAAAGTGGTGAATGTACATGAAAAGTAAAATAAGCTTACTTACTGCCTTAAATGCATTAACTACAAGTCAGGCATTAGTACTTCAAATCAGAAGGGAAAGAGGGTAGGGAGAAGTGTTAGTTGTCTAAAATGGGTTCTTAGGAATGAACCCATTTATAGTAGCCCAAACGCATTATATAAGGTATCAGTATGAAGAAATCCATTAGAACAAAAACACAAACCTACCTAAATATGAAAAGATATACCAAAGCAAAGAGCAAACATACAAACAAAACATAATGAAAGACAGTAGGCTACATGCAATTCATTCAAGAAAGTGGAAGAGTGTGTGTGTGTGTGTCTGTGTGTGTGTGTGTGTGTGTGTTTGCTTTATATTTTAAAAGTGGAAGGATAAGAAAAAGAGATTTCATCTGAAAGAGGGAGTAGGGTAGAAGTCAGAAATAGGAACAAGAATCCTCTGTAGAATGACTTCAAAAGTCTACATAATTTTGTCACACAATTATAAGATAAATTTAAAAAGCAGTTAATTCTTAAACACTAAAAAATAGTAACTAAAAAACCCTAATGAGCTGCTGGTATAATTACACACAGAAGTTAGTGTAATAATTTAAAAACACAGTAATCCTATAGGTTAAAAAAAAAAGATGAAAAATGCAAGAAAACAAAATGCTTTCATTAATCACATTTTTAATAGTAATGCAAGCTGTTGTCTTTGAACTGTGGTATAAATCAAATATGTAATTAAGTCAGCGTCTCTGGACTTTTGCTGAAGTTGAAGAAACTCCACACAGTAAGACTAAGATTAAATTAAATCCCTTTATCTTTGAATTTGACATTTCAATATCAATTCATATATTTTTAAATTATGTTTATCTCCTAGCTTTGTTCATTAAAAAGTACTAGCAACAATGACCAATCCAGTAGAAGGGAGTGTTCCTAATGCCCAGATTTTAGCCTACCATTTCCCAAAGCAACCAGACTCCTTTTAGAAAGGACTGATTCCAGGTATCGAGCAAAAAACAAAGGACCTGTAATAATTTGTCATCCTAGAAGACAAGGAGGTTATGAAGCCACTAGATGTGAGATAAAGGTCATGTCAAAAGGACACAGGAACCATCCTGAAACAGCATCCAACAGCTGAAGACAGATACGAGGCATCAGTAATAACTGAAATGAGGCCATGTTCGGTGGCTCGTGCCTGTAATCCCAGCACATTGGGAGGCTGAGGTGGGAGAATTGCTTGAGGCTACGAATTTGAGGCCATCCTGGCCAACATAGTGAGACCCTGTCTTTTCTATGCTAAAAAACAAAAGAAAGCAAAACAATACTGAATCCATGTAAAACAAGTATGTATATCTATGAGTTCATAATAATACTAAGAAAAAAAAATCCTTCCTTACTTTCAGAGAATGCTAATAGAACTCGTTATTTTTGAAAACTGACAAAGGAAAGGAATCAAGCACTTGTTCTGGCTTTTATTATAAATCAGAACTTCAGAGTAATCAAATGGCTGATAAGGGGAATTTTCTCTTTACAAAAGTATTCCAGTTAATAAACAGAGGTCTGATAAAGGCATGTCATTACTTTGCAACCTCCAAGAAAAAAAAATGCATCTAGGCAACGATCGTCCATTTTGAGAGCATCGCAGAAAGACATTATGTACTTTCTGAAGGAAGTACATGGACCAAAACAAACACATTGGATCAGGTCTCCATATCTAATTGCCAATTGATCAGAAATACAGGGAACAGGAACACAGTACATGGTACCATGGTGATGCAATCATAACTATTCAGTCTATAAAAAGATCTGCAGGAAAATCCTGCATGACATGTTTCTTCAACAACAACAAATTCCAAGAAAATAAAGAGTTAGGGCTGGGCGCTGTGGCTCACACCTGTAATCCCAGCACTTTGGGAGGCCAGGGTGGGAGGATCATGTGGTCAAGAGATTGAGACTCTCCTGGCCAACATGGTGAAATGCCGTCTCTACTAAAAATACAAAAATTAGCTGGTTGTGGTGGCATGTGCCTGTAGTCCCGCTACTTGGGAGGTGGGAGGTTGCAGTGAGCCCAGGTCGCATCACTGCACTCCAGCCTGGCGACAAGTGAGACTGCTATCTCAATAAAATAAAACAGAATAAGAAAAGAAAACAAAGACAGGGAAACTAATGAACTAAATAAAAAAGATTTAAGAGATATAGTTAATGACAATGTATGGGTCTTATTGGACTCCAATTCAAACAGACAAAAATCAACCAAAAACAAACAAACTGTAAAAAAGCAACCCCACAAACATAAACAAGATGATCAAGAAAATGCATCAATTCTGAACTGAATCTGAGATTAAGGAATTACTGTTATTTATACTGTTTTGTAAAAATTGTATTTTATTATGCTTTTAAAAAGTTCTCATCTAAGACTGGGTGCAGTGGCTCACACCAGTAATTCTAGCACTTTGGGAGGCCAGGAGTTAGAGAACAGCCTGCTCAGCATGGCGAAACCCCATCTCTACTAAGTGTACAAAAATTAGCTGGGCATGGTGGCATACACTTGTAGTCCCAGCAACTCAGGAGGCTAAGGCAGGAGAATCGCTTAAACTCAAGAGGCAGAGGTTGAAGGGGGTTGAGATCGTGCCACTGCACTCCAGCCTGGGAGATACAGCAAGACTCTTTCAACAACAACAAAAAGTTCTTATCTAAGAAAATAAAGATAACAAATAGAATGGAATATTTACAGATGAAAGGACATGGCATCTAGAATTTGCTTCAAAATAATCCACATATTGATGATTGCTAGAGCTTATGGAAGACCATGTATTTTACTGTGGCAAATTACAGATACTGTCTTATTTCTGTATTTGATTGGATTTAAAACATACCTAAAAATAATCACGGTTGTCATTTCATATTATTTTTTTTGAATACAAGATATTTTAAATCCAACTAAAACTGTTTTGCAAAATGCCTAAAACTTAAAACTTCTATGAAGACACTGTGTGCTAAAAATAAGAAAAAACCCAACCTGCTAGATTTGCTAAAATGTTGATGAGTAGATCGTAAAAATTTAATTTTTAGAAAAAAGAAACAGCAGCTGCTGCTGTTAAACATAATATGAAACATTTTTTAAAACTGCATTTAAAAATGTCCAACTCTTTTATAACCTTAAAAAAAGTCTCTCCAACACCAAGATGCTATGGTAAAATTTGAAAACTGGCAAAAATGAGGTAAGTAATTCCAAAGACACCAGGTTTTTGGACTTAAGTACAATTTTACATAAGAAAACTAAGTATTTTAAAGTATGTGCCAAGTGTTAGGTTATCCTGTGTCTCATAATTGAAGCCCACGGGCCACATATGACTTACAGGTAAGTTTTGCTTGCATGTATTTTTTAAGAAAAATTGACTCAACATTTAAAATTCAGGAGATTTCATACAAAAATCCAGGTTTTGACAGTCCTACACGCGACAATGGACTAGAGCCTGGGGCTCTCCCTTTCACCACAGGCCCTCTCTTACCGCCTTCCTTTGCACAGATTACAGCCTGTCTCCTTAGGCATTTGTACTTGTGATCAATAGTTGTGGCCTAACATTTTGAGAGTGGTTTCCTCCTCATTCTTAACAAAGAAGTAGAATAGCACAAAGACAGTGTCTGAGCTAATATTATTCACTTTTGCACTTACAAAATGCAAAAAAAAAAAAAAAAAAAAAAAACTCCAAAAACAAAACCCAGCATTGGTTATTCTTGTAGCACAAAGATAAAATGCTATCTGCGTATTTTAAAATGCTTTTCTTTAACAGGGCAGCAAGGCTTACCTTCAGATCAAGGCTGCTAAGGCTTATAACATCATCATCTTTCTCTCTGCGTTTTCTTTTCTAGAAGAAAAAAAAGATTTCATTCTCATTTAAAGGAAGGCATATTATATCACAAAACAAAGACTATAAAACTAGAAAAATCAGTTTTAAAAAGTTAAGCTTTTGACTGCAGTCACAAGAAAATTACTCTGAGGCTGGGTGCTGTGGCTCACGTCTGTAATTTTTTTTTTTTTTTTTAAGGAACACATTATTTACAAGGTCTTGACTAGAAAAAAAAAAATCCTTTCCTCATGACCCAGTGTAATTAAGATTTGTTGCCTGAGGCAGGATTGATTAACTGGAAGAACAGCCATGTCTCTGGAATGCTTTCCAATAATAATTTATCACCTTCATTCAGCCCTGCTGGCGCCAGTAGTGGCAAAACTGTGTACATATCTACTATTTCTGGTACTTAATCAATAATGAATAAGCACCCATGAGTAACACTTCATTCTTCCACATCTCAAAATAACTTTTCAGGTTACCTACACAGCTTAGCTCTTGGGAATTCTTTAAAAAGGGACTAGCTAGTGTTCCCTTTAACTTCCTGGCCCCACAGTGAGGAGAAACCGCTGGAAACTGAATTAAAATTGAGCAAGATAGAGGCAATAGAGAAGGAAAACAAAAACAAAAACAAAAAACAGAAAGGCAGAGTCCAGACAGAAGTGGAGAAAGTAACAGAGCCAGCTAGTCTCAGAAAGCAAGCTACCATAAAAACAACAGGAAGGAGCGCTGTGAACTCAGAAAAGCTATCTGAACCAAGATTTTGTGTACAAGTTGAAAACTAAATTCACACTAAAATGAACAGAAAATCTTCAAATTGTACACAGTATCACTCTAAGAAAAAAGAAAATAAGGAACAAAATCTACCTCCTAGGAAATGATGGCATATCAGGAGGAAATGCTCAAAGCAGCAGAGTAAAATCTAACACAATGTTTCGAATTGAGCTAAAAGACATTAAGAAAATGATCTAAGACATGAAAGAACAATATAGATCAGAATTCAGGTGATGGAACTCAAGAAATATTTTACTGATCCCAAGGTCATACCCACAAGATACAGAAAATTATGAATATGATTCCAGGTTTGAAAAGTCAACCAACCAAAAATCCTGCATGTGTATTTATCTATGAACCTGTGTGTGCATATTAATTATATGAATGACACATATGGTATTGCTGACATGGTTAGAGCAGAGGCTGGGAATGGACTAATACGAGGAAGGAGAAGAAAGGGGGAGGAAACTGCCTAGCAAAATAGACTGTACTGGGGGAAAAAAGCACATACATGATCATACTTACGCATTTATATGAAATTATTTGTATTTGGAATCATTTTTGCTATTTTCCCAAATAAGCATAAGAATCATGATCTGCCTGTATATACTTTATTTATATATTATTACGAGCTAGTAAGTTTTAAGTACAAAAAGAATCAATTTTCTGTTGCCACTTCACACAAAATTAAATGCCTCTGTAAAGTCTTGCTGTAAAAATAATAAAGTCCCTCTATTCTGAGATGATTAATAACAGAAAGTTATTCATTATATATATTAAATATATATATATATACACATAATCTGCAATCAAGCATCTTTGTTTTTCAACCAAGTAAAAAAGGCAATAGCAAATGTATAAAAATAAATTCATGTTTCATAATATAATTATCAGATTTAACATTGAGAAGAATAAGGGAAAGGACTGCATAAAGATGAATAGATGTGAGTTGCAAAATGTTTTATATTTACTTGGGAGAAAAAGTTTTTACAGCTTGCTATTAGAGAAGAACTAAATTAGGCTGCCAAAAATGGTTATAGGAATTCTGTTCCTCAAGACACTCAGAAGTACAGACCACTAAGCTGTATAACAGATTGAAAGATAACTGGGGAATTAATCCTAGCTAATGTCCTGAAATAAAAACCCAGGTATTTACTCACCAAAGTGAAGTCCCAGTTGGGGCCAGGTGTTAAGAATGTGAAAGAGCTGCCTCTCCGAAGGGAATATCTGTTAACAGAAAATTCAAACAATAAATAAAGAGAGTGACTTTAGCATAATAGACCATTAAACAGATAAAAAGCTATCTTCTCCATAGTTTCAAAACTGTTTAAAGTAGCCTGATCTGTCTGTCATTCAATTTGAGTAAGATGAGAGATGGTATATTAAAAAAACAAAACAGGATATAGGTTCTGGTCATTCTCAGAATCTTTACAGTGAAAGCACCTATAGAAAATTTATATTTAACAGACCATTTAAAAAAACTAATTCACCAAACCAAGTAGAGTCTACCTTAGGAACATACACATACTTCAAGAACATGAAATATATTAATAGGTTAAATAAAAAACAGCAAACAAACTTCCTAAGTGCAAAAATTTTAGCAACATATTCATGGCTAGTATTTTAAAACACAAAAATAAAAGGTTATTCTACCTAACTTCACAATATCTGCATTTCAGGTAAATCCCGAATTTTTTTAAACTGCGATTTAACTAACAAAATACAAAGCTATGAATAACTACATTTGAGACAAAGATGTCAATATTAAAATTTGACTAGAATTTTGTTCTTTACTGTTAAGTGAAAAATTTGTGTTTTTTTCCACTCAATGTGAAGACATAAAGCAAGAAAGTCCAAAACTCTTTACCTTTCTAAAATATAAGCCACTATGTTTATAAAATGTAAACCTGTGTTTACAATATGTAGAAAATCACAAAAACATAGCTAGCACAGGAGATAAAGGCAGTTTATAAATTATAGTTATTATTAATCACTTCAGATGTAAACAAATGTAGAATGAATGCAGATTTTTAAATTTTTCTTGTGGAAATAAATGAAGATCAACCAAATGAGAAAAGCAAAGGCTGTTTCTTCAGTGCTTGCTGTAGCAAGGGAGTCAGCTACTGTCATTTGCATCCTGACAAAGACTAAAAGACACGTAGAGGAGCTGGTTTCACAGTGGAAAAAAGAGAAGGCTCAGGTATGCCCCGACTGAAGGCTGCTGGCCTGGGGAACTGTAGGCAGGCTAACCAGAAGTTGGGGAAGCCTACTGTGATTGGTTAGGGTGTGCATCTGGCTTTCACAGGTTGGTTATGAATTGGAAGCGGGACAAAAATGAGGAAGCTGGCAGTTAGTAATGAAGTCCTGGACATTTTAGGTCAGTTGTTACACAAGTTATTATTTGGCTTCTTGGATTGTCAGGTTATTGTCCGTTTATACATTTGATCCTTAAGCCTCATAGTCTTTGTTCATCAAAAGTTATAGAAACACCACTGATCTGTGTGTGTCTTTCCTGCTTAAATCAAACATAAGGGCTTCTGGAGTTTTCTAAGCTAAATATAAAAGAATTTTTTTTTTTTTTGAAAATGAACACAAAGGAAAATGGCTATAAGGTAAAAGAGGAGGTCTAGAAAGCATCAGAGATGAATTAATACTTAAATAATACAAAGTATTACTGACTCTGAAAGAAAAATAGTAATTAACAAAGCATTAAGGTACAGTGAAATGAGTTACATTCTGGAAATTCCAAGTAGTTCCTTACATCTGAGTAAAGAAATAAGGAAGGGCTAAAGCATCATGAAAAGCCTCACTTACTACACTCGGAGTGAATGAACTTGATCTTGAGTATGTGTGGCAGCCACTGAATCTTCAGTAACATGAACAATGGATTGTAAGAAGGCAAGACTGCTCAGTTAGGAGGCAGCTCCAATATTGCTTACAAAAGATGACTGGGGCTCTGACAGTTATAACAAGATTATAGAGGAGAAGCCGATTTGAGAGAGCATTCGACTGATCAAAACTGGCAAGACAGACTTTTCCCTTTTCCTCTCTAAACCTGTTCAGTTACTACCAAGGTTCTTGACCTGGGGAAAATATGATGCCACTAACAGAAATTAGATGCAAAGATCTTAAGATATTTAAAGCAAACATTTCCTCAATAATTATTTGCAAAAGAGCAAAACACAGTAAGACTACTCATGGAGCTCAAACTTTTTTTGAGGGCCTCTCCAGTGGCACTAAAGAACCTAAGAAGCTGATTATTCCATCTTACTACTGCAGAAAAGTCAAGCAGCAACAAACAAAATGGTATTTTCTTCTTGAGAAAACACTGGAAGAAAGTATTTAAACAAAAAGTCATCTGAAACAAATTATAATTCGTATCAAGAAATACATAGGATTACTATCATGAACAAATGGTAAAAGATTATGGGAAAGACAGGACCTTTCTATTATGAGACCACAGATGACACTTTTTAAAAACACTGCTCTAGGAATAAATACTCTTAGCGTATTAAGTGCTATCATATGCTACACGGTTATCAGGAGCCATCAGTGGGCACTGAATTAAGCAGCAGCAATTATGATTTTTCAGGTTATTTAAAATCTAATACAAATATACAGTACAAAGTGGTATTCACTGTGACACTTCCTTTTGGGTTTAAGTATTAGGGAGTATGACAACCAAAGCATTAATTTTTTTATTCCCTAGAAATGACCACACTGACCTCAGAATGCATTTGCTATCTGAAAGCTGGAAAGAAAAATGGCTCGAGAATTTTTAAAAGGTTAACTGGAAAAATATTTCCAATCATATTGCAAAATTCTTTCCAGCCGTATCTGTAACCAGCTTTATAGTAATGCTATTTTTTCCCACTTCAATAACAAGTTCCTATTTTCAATACCCATGGAAAAAAGCAACCCAAAAAACAAACTGTGCCCAGAAACTATGTGAGACAGTGCCAACTTCCACAAATCTTGGAAAGACATACACTCATTTTTCACAAGGGTCCGACTCAGAATGTAATAGCTATTTTAAATCCTTGTGGGGGAAAAAATAATTTCATAAAACATTAAGATTACAAATGTTTTTTTTTCCCAGAAGATACACAGGACAACCTCCTAAAAAGGAGGGCCTAAGGATGAAATGTAGAGCAAAAAGTGGCAGTCCACCTTTTCAAGAATTTTTGTCCATATATCCAATGTATTTTTTCATATATCCAAGTAATTATAACATTTAAGGAATAAAATAAACCAATACATTCAGGAAGTGGCTTATATTAAGTTCCTTATTTGACTCCTGTAGATGTTCCCTTGGACTTTAATGCATTTCCTTTCATATCTTTGGTATGTTTTTGAACAATGTAAATTATTTTTATACTAAATTTGTTTTAGTCTAAAGAAATCATAATTAGAATGGTAAAGCTGCTGTTCAAAAGAAAAGCATCTTGTTAATTCATTCTTAAGCCAAATTATGTTTTCAGAGATTCTGGTGTGTGTTACGACCTCCTCCACCATGGCAGATAACACCTGACCTGAGATTATAAACGTTCACTTTCAAAAAATGTATTGAACATTACTATTACCAACAGGAAAATAGCATTCTTAAAAGCATAATTTACCTTCAAGATGCATTCATTATTAAAAAAAAAAAATGAATGTAGAATGAAAACAAGTTTCAGAAAAAGATTTTTAAAAAGGCAATAGTTTCCATTCATTGGGTGCCTACTATGTGACAAGCACTATACATATACTCTTATCCTAAAAATATATTTTTCCAATTAAAAAGGAAAGCAAACCCCAAGAATATAAAGATATTGGCTTATCACCAAGTAGATGTTTAAGGGGTTACAATGAAACCCTTAACTCATTCACAACCAGAATGAGTTAGCAAAGTGACATTTCTAAACAGCAAGCAGGGCAAAAGATTAACGAGAGTAATAGAGCAGACTAAGTCATTGACATTAGCAATAAATTAGCACAGGGACACTCAAAATAAGACATATATAACTGAAAATTGTTTGAGATGTCTCAGGATCTAAGAAAAATCACTTCCAATGTGAAAAGAAAAAAGAATGCAGGAGCACTGAAGTGCAGCTGCTGCTTAAGGAAGCTGCTCTCGCGTGCCAGCCACAAGACCAACTCAGGTAACTCTGTCAGTCTCATTACAACCCACTATGTGTAACTCATACATAGCCAAAATAAAAAATGTAACCTGTAAATGCCAAGAGTACCACATATGTAAAAAGAATCATATAATTTATCCTCTACAATTAACATTTTTTATATTTGGGGTGTGCAAACAACTGAGGTTCTCAATTTCTTTGTAAATCAGGCGAAACCAAAATCATTCTAGAAACGATTCATTTATTTGGGTCAAATACCTGATGTAGTAAACATCCACGACTGTTCTGACTGTTCAGCATCTTTGCTATTAAGGAGTTGTCTCTTATTCTACTTCATAAAGATTCTAGGGCCGGGCGCGGTGGCTCAAGCCTGTAATCCCAGCACTTTGGGAGGCCGAGGCGGGTGGATCACGAGGTCGAGAGATCGAGACCATCCTGGTCAACAAGGTGAAACCCCGTCTCTACTAAAAATACAAAAAGTTAGCTGGGCATGGTGGTGCGTGCCTGTAATCCCAGCTACTTAGGAGGCTGAGGCAGGAGAATTGCCTGAACCCAGGAGGCGGAGGTTGCGGTGAGCCGAGATCGCGCCATTGCACTCCAGCCTGGGTAACAAGAGCGAAACTCCGTCTCAAAAAAAAAAAAAAAAAAAAAAAAAAAGATTCTAGAGGAAGCTGACAATCATGTAGACTATGTCTCCTATCATACTAGGGTTTTCTTATCTGCATATGAGTCCAAACTAATACATCTTGGAATATCTTGTCTAGAACACAGTTGAGCATCTAGAAACCACCCCCTACCACACCCCAGACCAACCACCAGCCCCCGCCGCTATCCTAGGATACCCCAGACATCCTAATGTCCTACATTAATCCTCAGGCCTTGTCCACAGCAGCACATTCAGGGAAGAGGAAAGAGGGGATAATGACAACAGCAAGTAACAGTAAGGGAAGAGAAATTCTGAAGGCATACATCGTTAAAAATCTAGCACTCTTTGGAAACAGTGTGACAATTCCTTAAGATGTTAATAAGTTTACCATAGGACCTGATAATTCCACCCCCAAGAATTTACCCAAGAGGAGTGAAAATGTGTGTCTATACCACGCC